CCCCAAAACCCCAAAACCCCAAAACCCCATCAATCACTTTTCACTTTGATTAGTGAATTAAGAAATCAAATTTTTAAAATTATTAAATAGCTAAAATTATGAATCATCTTTTAAGTTTATGAAAATCAATGATTATTGACCAAAGATTATGCTTCACTTGAGAAGTATGTTGATGAATAATTTAGCTCCTATCAGCAAGATTATCAGCATATTCTAGATGTAACAAGTGAATGAAGACATATGACTTTCATGATATACAAATAATTCTATCCAAAAGAATACCTCTTAGAGAACACCTACAGAGCCTTAAAATATTAAGAAGTCAGTGAGATTTGCCTTATTAAAACTCTTCAAAAGAATCTATATAAAAATTGTAGACTGATAAAATTTACCATAATCGAAAGACCAAAGAGAGCCCAAAGTAGATACTCATGAATTTCATGAAAAATAGATTTCTGGACTTATGTCTTAACAATTTTGATTGGAGAATATTGTTGAGTAGGGATTTAAACCAAATCCATATTTTAGGTTTCAATAGTATTATCTTGAGATTTATTAAGAGCTACTTATACTTAGGGACATCTATCAATGTATATAATTTATTGTTCGCATCTTGAACCCTGTAATTATTACTGCAAACTACCAATAACTGTCTCGTATTATTCCCTTTAAGATTATTGCTATTATATTGCTTCATTATTACATTCTACTAGACTTGCTTGAGCTTGATTTATCTTTAAATTATAATCCTCTATTTATTAATTCAATTCAATAACTGTTTTATTCAGTTCATTATTTTTTTCATGTGCCTTTTCACAGAGGGAATTGAGAGCTTTTTATCGAAATTGAACTCTATATTCATTATGATATTACCCTGCTTATTCTTCTCTGGTTATAAAATTCTTTTTATCAAGGTTAATCAAGTATTATTAACCATTTTTTTCTTGTGTCTAAGCGATAAAAGTTAATTATACAGCTCTTCTCTGCTCATCTCTTTTTATCAGAAGAGTTAAATTAAGCGGAACAACAAATTTGCTCTCATCCATTGACCTTATTTCTTCGTCTTTGTATTCTCCAATTATCATAAAATCATCGGTAATGTTTTGAGGAAGAGCATTTTATATGTCAGCTGTAGTATAGTTCTACCATCCTGTAATTTATCGAAAATACTCAGCAGCTCCTTCTTCATTACTTTTACATTTCTAGTCATTAATAACTTTAGCAAAGTCTGCATTATTGGTTAAAACTGGGCTCCTGAAATATGATAATATAAGAAAAAGGCCAAGTAAACCTATAGCTACTCTTTGAATAAAATTAGTTTATTTCAATTCCATAATTCTTTCTTCCAGTTTTTCAATCGGAATATGCTCAACATCAGGTTTCTTGCTCATAAAGCATATCAGATTATCTTTAATGTTCATAGAATAGGCATTTTAATCTTTTTCACTGAGCATCTTGTTCTTATCGACAAAATCTAGATACTTTTACTCAAGGTCTTTAGTTCTAGCAAGTAAATCTTGAAGTTCTCTAGATTTATGATTCTACTGATTGATATGGTAATCGAGATCGTCATACTGCTTGTTTAGTTTCTGGTAGTCATTTTATATTGATAAAATACCAGATGCAACTGTTTAAATGAATCTCACTTGGGAATTTTCTATCAGCTTTGCTTAGGAGTTAATTTCTTTTGAGATTTTACTCATGACTTCTTTTATTTCCTTGATCTGAGCCTCAAATGCCAATTTGTCTTGCACTATTTATAAAGAATTAAGAAAGAAAAAATTATAAGGTATAATTACAGCATTTTGCGTGATCATTTTGCTCATCCCAGGCACCATCACAGTATAGGCATATCTCCTAAATGTTCTGCATGGGCTGCTCTACTAATTAATCTACTTTTTGTTGCGAAGAATTGACGGTTCTTCTATTTGAACTGTAATTGCTTGCCTTAGCACTCAATCTATCACTTCTTAAACTCATTTTAAATTCAATTATTTTAAATTTCAAATCCTACAATATTTTAGAGTATTGGGGTTTTGGGGTTTTGGGG